TTGTAGGGTTTATCTTCCATATGAATTCTCTTATGTTTATTAAGAATCGAGAACTGGTTAAAGGCCTTGCCACATTCTTCACATTTGTAGGGTTTCTCTTCTGTATGAATTCTTTTATGTTTAGTAAGGGTTGAGGACCGGTTAAAAGCTTTGCCACATTCTTCACATTTGTAGGGTTTTTCTCCAGTATGAATTATCTTATGTTTAGTAAGATTTGAGGACCGGTTAAAAGCTTTGCCACATTCTTCACATTTGTAGGGTTTTTCTCCAGTATGAATTATCTTATGTTTAGTAAGTGTTGAGGACCAGTTAAAGGCCTTACCACATTCTTCACATTTGTAAGAATACTCTCTAGTATGAATTTTCTTATGTTGAGTTAATTGTGAAAGCATGCAAAATGATTTGCCACGGTTTTTACATTTGAAAGGTTTCTTTCCAGTATGTCTTATCTTACTTCTATTTACATTTGAAAATTTATGAAAGACTTTCACATATTTATCACACTGAAATATTTTGCTCTCAGTAGTTGTCAAACATTGGTTAAGTCCATTATAACCTCTTTTGTACACCTTACATGCATCCACGCTTTTATGGTCTTTTCTTAGCTGTAAATTCTCATGTCCATACTTTCCACATGTTCTCAGTATCACTTTTTGGAAAGAATCTTTTATGCTCTGCTCTGGCCAAACATCTTGGGTAAAATGAGAACACATAACTGAAAAAAATTAAAATAACAAGTTACTTCACTTACTAGACTCAGATGAATATACTTTACAAATTTAACCTATAAAATTATACAAACTACAACATAAGCAAGATGGCACAGCAAAATACTACAGGCCCTAATTCCTTATAGAAATATAAATGTAACAAAAACATACTGACCAAAATACATTTGTGGAAAAGTTATAAATGAGTTAAATGTGTACAGTGCCCCAGGTGAGAACAATGCAAAGGGCTACATAGAAGGAAAAGAAAACTCTGTTATGTTTACACAACACAGCTCTTCCTGCTCCTCAATAACCTAGTGCCTTTAGCAGTAAATTGCCAATTCCTGGTTTCCTTTTTAGAAGACAAGAAAAATACTGGCACATACATCTTTATTTCTGGCCTCTAGGGGCCTTTTTAGACACTGGTTTCTGTCTCCCATGCCATAAAGCGCTGAAAGAAATGATGGTATACTTTGGAATGACAGTTTGTCTGCTGAGATCAAAGGTAAACATTACAGCAGCAGAGAGAATGCAGCAGCACTACAGACAACAAACACGTGTAGCAACTGATTACTGACTTATCAAAAAACACAAATCAATTCCTTTAACTAAAAAGTAAACACAAAATTTCAGACAAGATACATCCTAAGAACATGTTTGAGAGACTCAGGGAATCTCTAGCCAAGACAACTGGTTTAAGATTACGCCAGGACAAGGCTACATAATAAAGATTGTAACAGGCAGCTTTTTGTTAATGTCCAAATCTCAATCAAAGATTACAATGTATACAAAATATTAGGGCAACATGGCCCCATCAAAAAATTAAAAAATTTTTAGAAAGCAACCATAAAAAATAAAGTTATAAATTAAAGAAATTGAAAATAAATTGAATAATATTCCATGAGTGAAATAGAAACACAGATGATTTTTGAAAATCAGACAAATGAGGATAACAACAAAAATATTCAAAATATCAACACCCCTTCAGAAATTGTAGAGGTAAAAAATACAAGAAAAAACAGTAACTAAAAATCATAAAATAAAAAATGAAGAAGCTAGACAAACTAGGATATACACAAAGATACTTATAACACATATATAAGCACAATTTCAGAAGTTACAGACAAGAAGAGAGCCTTGGGAGCTGCAAGACAGAAGTAATGTGTCATTTATATGCATAGTCTTATGAGATAACCAGTGAACTGTCAACAAAAATTTTGCAGGCCATAAAGAAACTGTGTGATGTAGTCAAAGTCCAAAACAAAATTAAAACACAGAATGTAAAATTATTGGACACCATCAACTAAATCAATATATTCATGGAAGAAATCTTAGAAGAATATAGAAAAAAAAGTAGTACAGAGGATACTTGAAGATAAAAAAGGCTGAGAACTTTCCAAATTTTGACGTAATAAGAGAAAAAATATTCCTAACCAATAACACTCGGTTAGAAATTGTTTTACTTTAAAAACAAGAAAAATATAGATTTTCCAAAATAAAAGGTAAGGGTGTTCATTATCCCTTGCACAGTCCTATAAGAAATGCTACATGCTGAGCAGGCACTATGGCTCATGCCTGTAATCCTACAGCTTTAGGGGACCAAAGCAATCAGATCACTTGAGATCAGGAGTTCAAGAGCAGCCTGAGCAACATAGTGAGACACTGCATATACAAAAAAAGAAATGCTAAAATAAGTCCATTATGTTGAAAAATAAAATAATGCTGGACAGCATCAGAAAACCATATATAAATAAAAAGCTCTCTATTAAATGTAAATATAGACAAACATAGAATTCTTTACTATCATAATGATGGAGCATCAAACCCTTAAAGTTCTTCTACAGAATACAAAAAACAAAATATGAATCTGAATAAATCTGTTAATAGAAACACAATATAAAATAATTTGTAATATTAGTAACAAACTAGAAACTGTTTTAAGATGTTTTTTATAATCTTCATTTTTCAAGATGATTACAAAGATAATATTTATAGAAACTATGCAAAACAAAAAATAAAGCATGTCACTATGAGATTAAACAAAAATTTAAGGAGTAAAACAGGAAATGAGAAAAAACATATCTACACAAGAAACAACAATGAAACTGGTAATAGTAACATCATTTCTTTAAAAAATCATTTTAAATATATATTAAACTACTTAATAAAAAGAAATGTAATCCCAGGACTTTGGGAGGTCAAGATGTGCTGATCACTTGATTGCAGGAGTTTGAGACCAGCCTCAGCAACATGGGAAAACCCTGTCTCTACAGAAAATACAAAAAACCAGCTGGGTATGATGGCACATGCCTGTAACCAGCTACTTGACAGGCTGAAATGAAAAGATCATCTGAATTTGGGAGGTTGAGGCTGCAGCTCATTGCCATAATCACACCACTGCAAACCAGCCTGGTTGACAGAGGAAATCCTATCTCAAAAAGAAATAAATATGTAAATAAATAAGTAAGAAAGCATGTAATATACTGCCTAAAAGAGATCCATTTTGGCACTAAGTCAAATAGGCTGAAAGTAACAGAATGAAAAAGATCTATATCTATGCAAATAGCAACCACAATTGGGTGAGGTAGTCATAATTATACCAGACATACATGCTTTAAGTACCAGCAAGAGATAGACCGATATTATATAATAGCAAAATGGGTCAATTTACCAGGAATCTATAGTTACCATATCTATCTACTCTTTTAATAAACGAGTTCTCACTTGAATTGATGGAGTGTATACTTTTTGATTACTAAGAGGAGAGTGCCAAGCCATTCATAAGGAATTTGCCCCCATGACCCAAGCACCTTCCTCCAGGTCCCACATCAAACACTGAGGATTACATCGCAGCATGAGGTTTGGAGAACGTGAACATCCAATCAATATCATAGACCAACTAGGCTCAACAGACATGTACAAAACTTTCTAGTCAAAAGCAAGGGAATACACAATATTCTTATTTGCAGCTGGTGTATTCTGTTAGGACATACATCAAGTCTTATTAACATAAGAATACTAGCTGGGTGCAGGGGCTCATGCTTATAACCCAACACTTTGGGATTTCAAGGTGGGAGGATGACTTAAAGCCAGAAGTTTGAGGCCAGCCTGGACAACATAGTGAGAACCTGTCCCTACAAATGATCAAAATATTAGCCAGGCATGGTAGTGCATGTCTGTAGTCCCAGCTGCTCAGGAGGCTGAGGAAAAGGATCACTTGAGTCCAGGAGACTGAGGCTGCAGTGAGACAAAATTATGCCACTGCACTCCAGCCTGTCTCAGAAACAACAATAAATAAACTTAAGACCAAAATAATAAACTGTATGTTCTCTGACCAAAACTGAAAGAAACTAGGAAATAAAAGAAATGTGAAAATAAAACACATTCTTCAACATATTTTTTTGCTCAAGGGTCAAAAAACTTCATTTTGGGCCGGGCACAGTGGCTCATGCCTGTAATCCCAGCATTTTGGGAGGCCGAGGCGGGTGGATTACCTGAGGTCAGGAGTTTGAGACCAGTCTGGCCAACATGGTGAAACCCCGTCTCTACTAAATACACAAAAATTAGCCAGGCATGGTGGCGGGTGCCTATAATCCCAGCTACTCAGGAGGCTGAGGCAGGAGAACTGCTTGAACCCAGGAGGCACAGGCTGCAGTGAGCTGAGATCGCACCAGCCATTGCATTCTGGCCTGGGCAACAAGAGCGAAACGAGGTCTCAAAAAAAAAACAAACAAAAAAACTTCATTTTTTTAAGATGTCAATACAACCTATAGTGGTAAAGAAATTCAACACAATCTCTCTAAAAATATCATAGCACACAGTTTTTAACATAAATATTGTCTAAATTTTTAAAATTTGATTAAAAGCTATAATTATGCAAACACCCATGAAAAAGAACAAACGGGCATTATACTTCCTGATTTCAAAACATATTAAAAGCTACAATAACAAAAACAATGTGGTACTGACACAAAGACAGATAAAGAGATGAAAGAACAGAACAGAGAGCCTAGAAATGAACCCTTCTGTTTATGATCAAATGATCTTCCACAAAGTTGCCGTGAGCACACAATAGAGGAAAGATAACCTCTTCAAAAAATGGTGAAATTGGATATTAACACTTATAAAGTCTGATCCTTTCCTTGAACCATATACAAAAATTATTTTAAATAAAACACTTAGACATAAAAAAATAACTAACAAATCTCTTAGGAAAAATACAGAGGAAAGACATTATATTGGTCTTGGCACCATTTACAATATTAATGCACGAGCAACAAAGAAAAGAACAGAAAAATTGAATTACGCTATACTTCAAAATTTTTACACATCAAAGAAAACATTCAAGAGAGTGACAATGTCTCCTACACAATAAGTGAAAATATTTGCAAATCACATATGATAGGAGTTAATATTCAGAATATATAAACAACTCTTCAAACTGAACAATAAAGTTGAATAACTTGATGAGAAATGAAGGTATGAAGAACAGAAATTAAGAAATTGAACTTTACCATATAAAGTTTATCATATAAAGTTCAGTAATATTGAACTTTAACTGAATCTTTATCAAGAGATATATACATGGGAAAAAGCATTTGAAGGACAGACAAAATTACTAATTTGTAGAGAAATGCATAAGAAGCACAAAGAAAAACAAAATCACCTCACACTGGTTAGAACAGCCACTATAAAATTTTTTAAAAGGCACCAAATCTGTTGATGATGCAATGAAAATAAAACCCATGTTATTTTTTGGTGAAAAACAAGGATGCAGCCATTATTTTAAAATATTATATGTTTCTCAAATAATTAAAAATGGAATTATTATTAAACACAGTAATCCCATTTATGACTCTATATCCAAACTATGCAACATAGGATCTTAAAAATATATTTGAACATCCATGTACCAGTATTCACAAAAGCCAAAAGGATGAAGCAACCCAACTGCCTTCTTGATTTATAAACACATCCAAAAATGTAACATATCGATACAATGGAATATTATTCAGCCTTAAAAAAGAAAATGTTTGTCACATTTTAAGATAAACTTTGAGAATATTTTGTCACCTGACATAAGCCAGTAGGAAAATGATGGATACTGTGTGATTCCACTTATATGAGCTATCTTAAACAGTCACACTCATAAAAACAGTAAGTGGAAGGGCGTTTGTCAAGGGCTGGAGAGAGGGTAAAATGGGCAGTTATTGCTTAATGGATACCGAGTTTCAGTTTTACAAAATGTAAAATTTCTAGAAGTCTTGCATAATGATGTGAATATAGTTAACATGCCTGAAATGTACAGCTTTTTGGAGACAGGGTCTCACTCTGTCACCCAAGCTGGAGTTCAGTGGCACAATTAAGGCTTACTGCAGCCTCAAACTTCCCGGCTTAAGTAGTCCTCTCCCCTCAATCTCCCAAGTAGCTGGGACCACAGGTGACAACCACCATGTCTGGCTATTTAAAAAAAAAAGGTGTAGAGAAGGGGTCTCCATATGTTGTCCAAGCTGGCCTCAAACATTTGGGTTCTGGCCAGGCGCATGGCTCACTCCTGTAATCCCAGCACTTTGGGAGGCTGAGGCGGGCGTATCACCTCAGGTTGGGAGGGGGAGAACAGTCTGACCAACATGGAGAAACCCTGTCTCTACTAAAAATACAAAATTAGCCGGGTGTGGTAGCACATGCCTGTAATCCCAGCTACTCCGGAGGCTGAGGCAGGAGAATCACTTGAACTCAGGAGGCGGAGGTTATGGTGAACCAAGATGGCGCCATTGTACTCCAGCCTGGGCAACAAAAGTGAAATTCCATCTCAAAAAAAAAAAAAAAAAAAATAGGGCTCAAGTGATGCTCCTGTCTTGGCCTCCCAAAATCTGAGGATTACAGATGTGAGCCACCACCATGCCTGGCCAGGAAATGTAAACTTAAGTAGATTTAAGATGGTAAATTTTAGGTTATGTGTTTTTACAACAATTACTTTTTAAAAGAAAAACTAAAAAAAAATACAATTATAAATCTTTCCAAAAATTACCTTCAAATTACAAAAGTATCTCTCTTACCCAAAGGAAATTATATAATATTTATCATTAAACACATGGTGAAAAGAAGAGTATTTCCAGGACTACTCACTTAGATGAAACCACCATTGAAAATCAGCTAAGAAAGAATATAAACAAGATAAGCCATAACCAAAATTTGGGTCATATTTATAGATAAAAACACACACATATATAATCAGACTATGATGGACATATGGCTGACTTATTTCTTAAACTCAACATTCACTTAAAGTGTACAAACAGTAGTGCAAATTGCAAAAACTGTAAAACCAAGAAACAAAATAAACCGATAAGAAACCTAAATAATAAACAGTAATATGGAACTGTAAAACATTAAGAGAAATGTTTACTTATAAAATCTGGTTTGCAATATTGATGTACCATTAAAAAGAATTTGTCTAGATAACTGCAATATTTGACTGTAACTGTGTACTCATGGAAGGCAAGTATGTATGGCAGTAAAATTTCAGAGAAAATGCAGTATAATCATACATAGAGGATTCTAATAAAAAACTTTTAATAACTAAGCATTTTTAAAAATTGAGATAATTTTTATGTTTTAAACATATGCTATTCTTACACAAGGTGAAACCGCTGCAATCCAACTTTAGAAGCAAAGAGTAGCTTTACGTTTGCCAAATAAAGAAAAAATTTTTATTTTGTTGAATATGGTTAGTGCCTTTGATACATAAAACAAATATTTGGGGGATACATTATGTTATTACTTAGATATAGGCTAAAGAAAGTGGGTGAATGAAAATACTATTCCTTTTCGCCTGCAGCAAACTTAATTTTATAAATAACTATTTTAGTAATTATGGAGTGCCTACTAATTATCTAATTTACTTCAGGCATAACATGTAAATTCTAGCATATTGTCCTAAAGGTCTGATTCTAAAGCTACAGACAAATTTGAAATAGAGAATACAAAGTAAAAATGTATAGGAAGAGTGACATCAGAAGATAGGACAATAAAAGGTGCCTTATTTTGTTATCCTCCAATAGCAAGCAAATGCGTCAGCCATCCCTCATAAAAATGCCTTTTGAGAGAGTCAGGCATCACGGCTCACACCTGTAATGAAAGCTACATTATACATTAAGGTTGGAGAATTGATTCAGGCCAGGATTTCAAGAACAGAATGGGTTATGAAGCAAGACCTCATCTCAAAAATAAGTGCCTTTAAGAGAGCTTTGAGATCCAGGGAGGGAGTTGTGAAATGCTAAACCCAAGATTGAGGAGAGTTGTTTTCAGAAGACAGGCCCTCATTCAGGAGGCAAACTAAAGGACTCCTGTTCTTGGCTACAGACCAGAAAATGGCCCACCAAACTTGGTCCCACTAAGAATTCTGAACTTACTCTGTAACCATCACAAACTTCTCCCAGCCACAGTCTGGAAAAGGTCCTGCCCTTCCAGCGGCCTGAAGAAAGACAACCATTTATAGCCATGCAGGCAGGGGGGCCTGCAGACCTTGGCCTTTACTGCGGTCTCTGAAGCAGTTTAATGACTCAGTTCGAACTCTCTGAGCCACAGTTTATGGCCAGTTATATCTATACAGAAACTTACACAGTGGCCTGAGGAAATCCTCTCTGGTACTCAGTGAAAGTCATACTCATCCACATCCTGATATAAGGTCCACTATATGCAGACCAGACTACAGAAACCTGCCTTACTGTCTGCCCTACAGAGCAAAGTCCTGGAGGCTATTCAGTCTGTTCAAAAATAAAATGAAAATTACAATTACCCAAGCCCCTTGTAACAAGCCAGTAAAGGTGGACCCTAGTGTAGACCCAGCAGCCTTGTGACCAAGCTACACCCCTCTCTACTACCAATCCAGAGGGCATCCCATCACCCTGGGAACCCAACAAAAGATTTTTACCTTCTAAAACCAGTTTATCAAAACTTTCAGGTGTTTGCTCCTTCAAATTTACAAACACCAATGCAAAACTATATTGTGCCAATGTCAATGCTTCTATTTTAACATAGCACTGGAAGTATGTGGCGAAAGAATTTAAAAAGTTCTAAAAGGCCATTGAAATTGAAGACAGATAAGTAAAAAGTTGCTGTTTATAGATCACACAATCTTATACAGAGAAAATCATAAACATTTATACCTGTCTCAACTAATACTCAGAAAATTAGCACAATATAAAATTAACATACAAGCTATGGTTCCACACACTTAAAATAAGCTACCTGATATGATAGAGGAAAAAACAATTTCATTTGTAATAGCATTAAAACAATACACTTCACTTCTCCATCCTGGCTAACACGGTGAAACCCCATCTCTACTAAAAATACAAAAAATTAGCCGGGTGTGGCGGTTCATGCCTATAGTCCCAGTTACTCAGGAGACTGAGGCAGGAGAATGGCATGAACTCAGGAGGCGGAGCTTGCAGTGAGCCGAGATTGCACCACTGCACTCCAGCCTGGGCGACACAGTGAGATTCCGTCTCAGAAAAATAATAATAATATTAATAATATATTTCTGGGCTTGGCACAGTGGCTCACACCTGTAATCTCAGCACTCTGGGAGGCCGAGGTGGGCAGATTACGAGATCTCGAGGGTCAAGAGATCAAGACCATCCTGGCCAACGTGGAGAAACCCCATCTCTACTAAAAATACAAAAATTAGCTGGGCGTGGTGGTGCACGCCTGTAGTCCCAGCTACTTGGGAAGCTGAGGCAGGAGAATTGCTTGAACCTAGGAGGCAGAGGCTGCTGTGAGCCAAGCTTGCACCACTGCACTCTAGCCTGGCAACAGAGCGAGGCTCTATCTCAAAAAAACAAAAAGAAAAGTAGTTTAACAGAGTTTCTCAAAATTATGCAGTTATTTGTGTGTCCTCAAAAGCAACGGAAAAGCAGTCAGATTGTGTAGTCTCTTATTGCCATGAAAAGGACTTTGGCTTTCACTGTAAACTTGAAGGAAGATCACCTTAGAAAATTTAAAAGCATTAGACAGAAGATGCCCCTATGTGAGAGCAAAACAAAAGTTTGAGGCTTCCCAGAAACTTTCTTTTTTGGAAACAACTTCCCAAATTACATTTTAAAGACCGAGGCTGGGTGCAGTGGCTCACGCCTGTAAATACCAGCACTTTGGAGAGGCTGAGGCGGCCAGATCACCTGAGGTCGAGAGTTTGAGACCAGCCTGACCAACATGGAGAAACCCCATCTCTACTAAAAATACAAAATTAGCCAGGCGTGGTGGTGGGTGCCTGTAATCCCAGTGCTTAGGAGGCTGAGGCAGGAGAATCGCTTGAACCTGGGAGGCAGAGGTTGCAGTAAGCCGAGATCGCACCCTTGCACTCCAGCCTGGACAACAAGGGCAAAACTCCGTCTCAAAAAAAGATTGGCCTTCTCCTTGACTTTTGGACCTCTCATTTGTGTCATCTGTTGTATTAACTGTCACCTACCTGGGGTTTTGTCTACCATCTCACGTCTCTTCACATTCCAGGGTTCTTTTTCTTGCTCCAGCCAGGTGATCAGGTCTGGCTTAGAGACAGCAATACCTGTTTTATTAAAAATAAGTAACATAAATCTTGCTCACATTCTCTAATTACCAACATAGTAACATGCTCAGTAAAGAAGATGTAATAGATTAATCTAGTAAATTAATCCCCAAATACTAATTTATGACAAATATCTAAATATTTTTAAAATATTTTAAATTTGTAGATTTTTTTGTTTGTTTTGAGACACAGCCTCACTCTGTCACCCAGGCTAGAGTGCAATGGCACGATCTCAGCTCACTGCAACCTCCACCTCTTGGGTTCAGGCAATTCTCCTGCCTCGGCCTCCTGAGTAGTTGGATTACAGGCGCCCACCACCACGCCTGGCTAAGTTTTGTATTTTAAGTAGAGAAAGGGTTTCACCATGTTGGCCAGGCTGCTCTCAAACTCCTGACCTTAGGTAATCCACCCACCTCGGCCTCCCAAAGCGCTGGGATTACAAGCATGAGCCACCATGCCTGGCCTACATTCGTAGATCTTTAATTTTACTTAATACTGCCCAGTACTACTAAATTTACTAAATGAAAAATTGGTGGTAGCAACAATATTTTATGCCAATAAATTTCTGGAATTACCACTAATTTAGAGTAAAGGATAAAGATCAGCTCAGGAATGTGGAGAGTTCAGGTCAAAATGAAACATCTTGAAGAAGTTCTTTTCTACACTGACAAATCTGTTTTCTTGAAAACTGGGATCTGAAACTCATTTATGCAAAGCATAAATTACCAAAAGACATTCTACAAAGAAGAGAAATAAAATCTTTAGAGTACGTTAGGAATTATGTATTGAAGTTATCCTCACCAAGGAAGACCAGGTTTCTGTAGTTCTCTAACATCACATCTCTATACAAATTCCGCTGTGCAGTGTCCAGGCATTGCCATTCCTCCAGAGAGAATTCTATTTTCACATCCCTAAATGTCAGTGGTCCCTGAAAAACACACACACACACACACACACACACAAACACACATATGTTTACTAAGTGGCCATGGGCAGAATTTTTTATTTGACTTAAGGTGAAACAAAAGAGTAAAGAGAACAAGTTCTGACTTACAGGAGCGATTGAAATTATCCAATAAAATAATTTTCAATATAGAAATATTTTCTAATATAACTCTGAGAAAAGGGAATGACATGAGAGTATATATATGACACTTTTCTGGATGATAAAGTATAAAATTAAGGGCATGAACACAAACATACATTTTTGAGTGTATATGTTTCAGATGGAAAAGATGTGGAGTTAGAAGGGACCTCTCAAATTTTAATGTGTATGATAAACTGAAGATCTTGTTATGCATATATTTTTTCAGAACATCTGGAATAAAGTCTGAATTTCTTAATTTCTAAGAAGATCACCAATAATGCCAATGATTTTTGCCCAAGAAGATTATTCTGTCAAGCATCCAGTAAGTGGGAGGAGTGTGGGTTTTCCCAGTTTTTCTGACCTATAAACAAAGATGAGAGCCTTCATTTTCCAAAGACAGATATATGCAAAGAAAACCTAATAAAGAAGGGCAGCTGCCAGATTAACTGTAATGGTTTATGCACATCAGCTGCATAAAGATACTTAATAATTGGCTGGGCCCAGTGGCTCACACCTGTAATCCCAGCAGTTTGGGAGGCCGAGGTGGGCAGATCACCTGAGGTCAGGAGTTCAGAGACCAGCCTGGCTAACATGGTGAAACCCCGTTTCTACTGAAAATACAAAAAATTAGCCGGGCATGGTGGCACGTGCCTGTAATCCCAGCTACTCGGAAGGCTGAGGCAGAAGAATCGCTTGAACCCAGGAGGCGAAGGTTGCAGTGAGCCGAGATTGTGCCATTGCACTCTAGCTTGGGGAACAAGAGTGAAACTCCGTCTCAAAAAAAAAAAAAAAAAAAGAAAAAGAAGAAAACACTTAATAATCAAGAGGAAAATTACTAACCCTAAAGTGAAAAAATCTGTCAGAGAGCTCTTTAACCAAGTGAATCATTAATATCAACTGAACTAGGACAAATTTTTATAATGTGCTGATGAACAGAAGGACACAGCATCACTGCTTCACTGCTGAGATATTACTTCCCCAAAAATTAAATTATAGCCTGAATTGAACCATAAAGAAACATCCATTTTATGCCAAGTTCGAGATACAGATATGTCCCATGTTCTGTAATTTTTAATAGAAATTTTAAATAGTTTTTCTTTAGCACCCTAGAGAACGCATACCTCCTAATAATTTTCTTCAGAACTTTCTGGGTAGTAAATGTCATCCTGTTTCAAAAAGCATTTTCTTAATCCTGTTCTGCATAGAGCTAATGGAGAAGGTAGATGAAACCTCAATATTACGTGTTCTCCTTGACTAAGAACCCCAGCTTTTCCCCAATAGGAATCTTGAGTATATTCATCCCCCGATATTAAACAGCCACAAAGGGAACATTTTTAACATTGCAGATCATAAATCCATGGTGAGAATTCTACATGGCATTTAAGAAGCCATGGTGTAGAGAAGGCTCCGGTATATAGGAAAGAAATATTTGCCCAGGCGCAGAGGCTCACACCTGTAATCCCAGCACTTTCGGGAAGCTAAGGCGGGCGGATCACAAGGTCAGGAATTTGAGACCAGCATGGCCAACATGGTGAAACCCCGTCTCTACTAAAATACAAAAATTAGCCAGACATGGTGGCATGCGCCTGTAATCCCAGCTAGTTAGGAGGCTGACGTAGGAAAATTGCTTGAACCCGGGAGGCGGAGATTGCAGTGAGCCAAGATCACGCCACTGCACTCCAGCCTGGGTGACAGAGCGAGATTTTGTCTCAAAAATAAGTAAATAAAAATTTTTCAGACACTTGACTATAATGAAAAAATTTTTAAAGTAGTTAAAACAAACTCATTAGGGAGGAAAAGCACAAGTAGAGAAGTAAAGGTTTGTAAGTACTAAACACATGGCATTCCAGGAGGCACAGTGGACACAGCTCTTAATCTGAGACATTTTTAGCTGAAAAATAGCCATTTTTTCATCTTTCTCCTCCTGCTCTAGGATTCCTTCTCAGATCAGATTCTCTGGAGAAATTACACCTGAATCTGGAGAATATGCTTTTAAAGGTGTCGGTACCACCTGTTTACCTGCTACCATCACACCCACAGGCAAAAGGTCCAAGACCTGCAGAAAAAGCCCACCCATTTCCCTCCTTTATAACAGAAGAGATTCAAGAAAAATAAGCTGCTCTATGGAGATAAAGATATAAGTTTCTCCTTTCCTGTCCTCAGGTGCCCTCTCCTACCAGACACCAGCAATTTTTGCTAAAGTAATGGAAATATGGGCCACTCTGCCTTGTCCCTACCAAACCCAAAGACAACAGGCCCTTTAGTGCAAAGACAGAACTTAACACTCACGAATGTATCTTGAACCCCTCATACTTGATTCTGGCCTCACCTTAGAGTCACATGAGGCCCTTCAAGCAACATGGATGCTTCCAGAACAATAGAACAGAACCTGTTGGGGGGGCACAAATAGAGATTTCTGCAAACTGGCTACGTAATCTTAATTAGAAGCCTGGGCTGATAAACACTTAGCTAAGTATTATCTCTCAAGCATTGATGAGCTTATAAATCGCTTGGTGATTTTGGCCCCACTCTATATAATGTGATTCTGCAGGTTTGAAAAGGGTCCATGAACGGGTATTTTAAACAAGTCCTCTATAGATGTTGATGTTGCTCCCCCTGCACTCATTATAGCACTAGCTAGAGAAAGCAGGCACATCACAGAGTCCCTTACACTCAGCACATTTGTCACAACATAAATACTTCTGGTACAAATAAAGACAATCAATCTTCATCCTAAAGTATATCCTTTGCTGGCTCTTTACAGAGGAAACAGAGGCCAGTAATGTCCAAAGAAGTCTGCATTTGGAAAAAAACATTTACACATACACTAATGCAATGTTTATTAAACAGATACTATGTCCTCAAGAGTATGTTACAGAGTACTGCTGGGAATAAAACATTACATGATTTAATCCTCGTAACACCCTGGGAGTTGTTTAATAATTGCCAGAATTTAGATAAAGGGCCCAGCATTTTTATTTCTCCTTTGTCATTATTTTTTTTGAAAAATGTACAGAATAAAAGCTACATATAGACAGATGAGAGGAATAAGGAAAAGAGTTTAATGTAGTTTGGAGGAATTTTTATTGTGTTTATATTTACTTGTTTGTGGCTTGTGGAGCAACTACTGGGTCTTCAGGAATAGAATAAGGAATAAGTTGCTAAATGGCATGTCTCTGCAGGCACTGATTTCAATACAAAATTAAGAAATTAAGGCCCTAAAACATTACTTTATTTTTCCCATTTATCTGCTTTCAGATTTCAGGAAATTCTCAGCAACAGCTCTAGAAAGGCAGCAGAATTCATCACCCAACACTTATCTCTTTTAATCAGTTCTATGAGGCTAGACTCCAAGGTGAAGCCAGACCTTGGCTTAAGGCCTTCAAAAAGGGTGATTCTGAACAGAATTGGGGCAGGGAGAGGACACTATGTAGAACTCTGCTCTCTACGCCACTGGGGTATTTCCTGTTCTGTTTTTCCTAAGCTTACCTACGAGAAACTTAAATCCCACAGTTTGTGTAATTTAATCTTTTTTAGCCACTGCCCTGTCAATTGTATAACATATACTAATAAGCAATTTAAACAAATCTCTTAGGGTTTTCTAGGGTAATTTTGTTAGAAGATAAGCATGTATTCTTAACAAGGTAAAAGAAACAGAAATAATAATAACAACTCTTCTGTCCATAAACATCCATTCAAATGATGACCTCAGAAGTCACAGCAATATAAAGAAGTGGCCCAAATGAAGCCCACATATTTTGGCATGACTCATTTCTCTTACACTGAGACAAAAGCAGAATTAACCACTCTTGTCAGCCTAACACAGTTTTACTCTGGACATCCTCAAATGTTTCAAAGATGCCCAGGTGATTGTGAGAGGGTTCTCAGTGATCCTGGGCTGATGGCCCAATGGTAAGCCAGGCAGGAGAAACTCAGGCTGATTCTAAATAGAAAACAGAACGGCCCTGGTGGAGCTCCACAACCTGGCTCACCTGTCCTGATCAGGTAGTCTTTGGGTAAGAGGAAGGACAAGAATACTCTACTCCAGTATCACATTTTTTACAGGTAGTTATAGTTGTAGTCATGGCTCTGGATACTTTGTGACCCTGATCTCTCACTCCTAAGATGCTCTGTGGCCTTGATCTCTCAATCCTAAGATGCTTTGATTACATTTATAGATTCTGCCATCAGATTCTATTTATACCTGGCACCTCTCACGTAACAGTAACAGGTCACTGAATGAGATCTGAAAAACTCAAATAGCCACACTATCAAGGGAGGTAGCTTTAAGATGTCTATGTTGACATCTCACAATGCAGAGAATGCCTCCTGTTGGTTTTCTGTACATTCTTAATCCAAAGTCTGGTACTGTCTTGTAAATCCCAGGCAGAGGCCAGATCTTATGTGTGGATTCTAGGTGGGGTCAACCTGGCTCTGCATTCCTGGATGTTACAGCAAGAAAAGTACAACCAAACGAGAGATCCCCTCATGAAGACTGCTCTGGCACATTCTAAATAATATGTCCTTAATTTCCTCCTTAATAGGAAAACGCTGAGGAAACATGAATATAAGTAGACAGTTCATTGGGCCAAGCTTGAAGATTGTAAACTGGGAGCAAAGATTCAAGTTGCCTGGAATCTAGCAGCAGTTACAAGTGGATTTTTAAAGGCAAAAACAGACAGAGAGTGGGCTGGTGCAAAATTGTTTGTCAGGAATTCTTATTTACTAAAAATAACCTTGATTACTGATTGACATACGTTGCTAAACTGTATAGGGTGTGGGTTATAGTGTTCAGTGTGGCATTATTAATTTATAGCTACTCATGGCAATAGCAAGCAGTT